CCCCCCCCACCCCAGCGCAAATTTGTCCGCTAATGGCGCAGGCGATTAGCTGCGGAGCCGCTCGGTGTTGTGTGGCCCGCGGGCAGGGCCCGGGTTACAAGCGCCAGGAATCCAGACGGTGTTTGGAGAGGGGGGCGGAGGAGGCCAGTAATTAGTGTAAACCCTTTGTCTGCCTTTGATACCCGCAGCTTCGCCCTGCCACGGCTTCCTTCGCCTGGAGCGCAGGCGGGGAGGGGGTGTGGGGGGCGACTCGGCCCCCAGCAGCCCAGGACTGGGGAGGGGCGGCCCTGCAGTCCCAGGCTGGGAGGGGTGGTGTACCCCTTCCCCTCGCGGCACGCAGTGACTCCCCTTCCTTAACCCCCCAGGTCCTGAGAGGCCAAGATGATGCCCAGCCCGGTGTTGTCGCTGTTGCTGTTGCTGTCACTGCTACTGGGAGCTCTCCCGCTGGCCGCCGCTGCTCGAGGTGAGTCCTGGCGCCTGGCCTGGCCGCCGGCCTCCGTCAGCGCCTCCCCTTCCCGCCTGGCCCTGAACCCTGCCAGAGTGCCCGCCTGGCAGTGTGTGCTCGGTGCGCACCCCTAAGATACCCCCAGCTCATCCATGGGCACCCCATACTGCCAGCCAGGTAGCCCTAGCTCACCCGTGAGCCCTATACTCACCCCAGGGATACCACCATGCTCATCCCTGGGGTACACCATGCATATATCTCTAGGGTACCGCCTTGCCATGGTGGGGTATCTGCAGCTCACCCGAGGGGTCTGCCCTTGGTATGGATATCAGCTCCTTTCCTCTGGGTACCTGCTGTGCCCTGTAGCAGTTAGGGCAGCTGGGCACCTTAGGGACATTATGAGCAGTGAGGTGCTTATGGTCACAGTGGACCCAGGGAGGCCCCTAGGAACCTTCGAGAGCACTCTGTGGGTGACCAGGGCAGAGTGTAGGAGGCACTGGGGACACCCTTGCTGTCTAAGACCTATGATGGGCTTCTTCTCTTCTACCCTTCCAAAGTATCCGAGTGCCCAGGGCCTGCCAGCCCATCCCTAGCCAGGCAGGATAGGGACTGAGTCCACAGTGTATCTGGGTCATTATCCGGACTGGTCTGGTGTGTGTCGGGAGCAGGACATTGTCTCAGAGCAGATCTTCAGTAGACTTCAGACTTCCATGACCCAGGCTACACTGTGGCTCAGGCTTGTCCTACATCCAACATCCGTGGGATGCCTCCGTGTGCCCTGCACCTGGCCTTTGGAGGAACATCCCCCACCTCCTCCTGCGCCATGGTGATGCGAGGTCCGGACGTCCTGCCGCCATGTTTGCCGAGCTGGAGGGCATGGGGCTGGCTCCCCCCCAGCAGCTAGGCGGGACCTGCAGCCAGGCCGGCCCTTCGGGCATGCTGACCACTCAGGATCATCTCTGTCCACCAGTCTGCTGAGCTTTCGCATCCCCTCCCCCTGCCCGGCGGGCACACTTAGCTGACCAGACCTTATATGGCCACGTTCGGGTGTTGGGTGGCGGGCGGCAGCCCAGGTGGGCCTTATGCCATGGTACCCACCACCCCCCCTCCCGCGCCCGCTGGGGACTGGCTGGCTGGCTGGCTTGAGGGTGGGGGCTGCCCAGGCGCTGCCTGGTCCGGCGGCTGTTCTGAGGGCCGGGCAGCGTCCTGGCCACAGCGGGTACTGGTGCCTTGCTGGGCAAGGCCCCCAGCAGCCCCGGACTTTGATTCTCCCATCCTTGCACCTGCCTGTCCTCTGGCCACTCGACTGGGGTGGCTCTGGAGGCCGATGTCCGGCCCTGGCCACTGGCCTGTGCCCCAGTTGGTGGGGGCCATAGGTGGCAGATGTCAGTGTGCGGGCAGGGCCTGCCTTGGGTGCTGAGGGACCTCAGACGGGCCACCCCCTCCTCTCATGTCTCCCCTGAGGCCTTGGCCTTGAGGCTACAGTCTGCTTGATGAAGGCCCCATGTCTTCAAAGGCTCTCTGTGGTTTGGGGGTGGAGGTGGGGAGGCGGAAAGAACGTTTTTCCTGAATCGTGCTGACTTTTTCCCTCCAGGCCCAGCCAAGTCTGGGTAATGCCAAACCCAGTGTATATCTCGAGTGGGTGAATGGACCATCCCGGGGGCTGAGCAGCAGAGTGTAGAAGGTTCTGGGTATTTTGTGAGAGCCCTTTTCTCCTGGTGTCACACAACTTCTGCAAACGGTACATCTTTAAACTCGAATCCTGTTTTAAAGAAAAGAAAAAAAGGTTCCTCTTTCCCCAAAGTTACACAATCTTAGTGGATTTATTTGAAACTAAACTGTTTTCTTTTTTTTTCAAATTTGGAAAAAATAAAGCCCCATAGGGTTTGACTTTCTTCATTCCTCTGTCTCTCTGGACAGAATAAAATGCCCTTCGCAAATAATCTCCCAAGACTTGCGTTAGGGGTTTTCCAGGAAGGGCCACATTTGAGCTTCTCCCAGGATGGCCTTTTGGCTCGGGAGATCAGGGCCCTGTTCCTCAGGTCAGCAAGTCAGTGAGTGTCCTTTGGGTAGCCTGCAGGGATGATGTGGCTTTGGGCCCAGGGGGACCTGTTAGTGGCAGCCGCTGGGTTGAAGAGATTGAGGCTCTGGGTGACCCACCTTGAGGGCCAAGGCGGTCTCTGGCAGCAGGGGCCCTCTCCCTCCTCCCCACCAGAGCCCTTTGAGCAGTGTGTGGTATGTGGGGTTTGCCTGAGGTAGAGTGGAAGTGCTGGGCAAGAGTGCTGGTGGTGCGGCAGGTTAAGCATTGCTAACCAAAAGGTCAGTGGTTTGAACTCACCAGCTGCTCTTTGGAAGAAAGCTAAGGCCGCCTACTTCCATGAAGATTGAGTGTCGGAAACCGTATGGAGTGGTTCTAAATCAGTCCTTTAGAGTTACTAGGAGTTGGAATCAACTTGACGACAGTGGATTTGGGGTGGGGGCAGGAGCCAGGCCCAGCGGTGTGCTTGGAGAGGGGGGCAGGAGGTGGAGACGAGGGCCAGCTGCCCCTTTTACGTCTTCGGAGCCCCACTCCTAGCAGGGAAAATAAATCACTGTCCCCTTGGGGGTGGGGGAGTGGAGGGAGCCACGAACAAAGTCGCCTTTGGCTGGATCTGGAAACGCCAGCAACCGCAGCGCTCCTTTATCCATTGTGCGGCTGGAATCAATGGGGCTCCGGCTGGAGCCCTCAAAGTTCCCATTCAGTGTTGTTGCCCTAACCCGGGGAAATGTTGGTTTTTCCCCACCCGGCCTCCAGCCTTGGGCTGGCCCAGGCCCTGGCTCAGGTGCTGGCTCAGGGCTGGGAGGAGGGACCCCTCATTCTTGCCTGCTCAGCCCAATGGGCTGCGTCATTCTGCCCCTCATCCTGGGATGTTGTCCAGGAGACCGCCTGTGGGCAGGGTCAGCATGCAGAGGGTCCTGTGTGTCTGGCCTCTGGAATATTCTTCCCGTGTCCCTCTCTGCCCCTGCTCTGCCCACCACCCTTGGCTACCTGTCGGTGTGCCCTAGGCGGCAGACATGGTTGCCTTTGGTCATCTTGGGCTGCTCTAAGTGGGGCTTTGAGGTCCAGGGATATTGGGAGGGACCCAGGGAGAGGCAGGGAGAGCCTGTCCACCGAGGCGGGCAGGGGCGTCATGGGGGCAGGCCTCGAGGGAGGCGTCCAGATGGCAGGGATGGTGTGGGCAGGGCTGGTGGCTCTCCTCAACCAGGATGGATATCGGGGACCATGGATGCCTTGATGTGGCTGTGATGGGGCCGTGAAGGGGCTGACATGCTTGGCTGGCTGAGAGGTGTGGAGGCGGTGGGCAGAGGGGGGTGGGACTAGACAGAGGATTCTGCCCCATTAAGAAGTGTAGGGTTGGCTTCCCTCGATGAATGGGGGTGGGGGGTCTGGGGGCTGGCAGGACCCTCATGACTCAAACACACACCAGCTCTACCTGGGGGGGCGGGGCGGGGACTCCACATGGTGGGGTGGGTTCCAGGCAACCCTGTCTCTGAGCATCAGAGGCAGCAAGGCAGGAAGGGCTCCTGTTGAAATGTAAGGCTTCCCATCTTGGCAGCAAACACAATCGTTTTTCCTCCTGCATGGCTGGCTAGGCTCCTTCATGAAAGATTTACACAGGCTGTGTGTCCCCTCAAGTGGCTGAGGAGTGAATAATGGGGCAGCCGCGGCTGCTGCAGGGACAGTGGTGGAGGGCCAGGGCTCAGCTCAGGGGCCCCGTGACCCCTCAGAACCTCTGAGCCCCACCTCCCCTGCCCAGCCCCAGGACAGTGGGTGACCCTGCAGAAAGTTTCTTCCAGGGCTGTGCTTCCGACAGCCATCGTGTGACTTGCTGTTCAAAGGTGTTATTTTGTGCCCGAGGGGCTGGGGAGCCACCCCTGGGTCTCCGGGGAATCTGGGGCCTCAGCTCGCTGTGCTCCCTTGCTCAGCTGCTCACAGGGCAGAAGTGGGTACTTGTGACAAGCCATAGAAAGTCTGGGGGCTTTGGGCAGCAGTAGCAAGAGAGGCCTTAGAGACCTCCCACCGCCCACCTTGTGCCTCTCTGCTTCCCTGTGTGTGTACCCTGAGGGGCGCTTTTAGGACAAATTTAGTAGATGCTACCCAGGGTCTCCAGAGGAGGGTACAGACATGGAGGGGTTAGGCAAGGTGTCCCAAGGGTCCCTGATCAACCGGTGGTCAGGTTGCTTCTGGCCAGCAGAGTGAACGGGATAAAGTCACCAGCTTGCTGTGGAGGCCTCCCTATACCGCCTGGAGAGGCCCCGTTTCTGGGGCAACCACCTGTCCTGCGGGTCCTACCAGTTCCACCGCTGACCGTGGGTCCAAGCAGCTGGGCGGGCAGGCAGGTGACTGGTGACTTGGAACCTATGTGTGTGCCCATGTGTGAGCTCTTGCCTGAGGGTCCTGACCCTGAGGGGCAGCTGGGCCCTGGAGGTGCTTACCTGTGCCCCTCCTCCAGGGGGAGTGTGCAGTCACTCCTCAGAACTTGAGTGCTTGGGAGTCCGGGGCCATTTTCTGGTTGGAGGGTCTTCATGGGGGAAGAAGTTTATCTGGTATTTTTCACCTTGTCTTCTGGTGGCTGCTGCTACATGTAACACCTGGGCTTGCGCTAGCCTGGGGACTCCCGCTGCCTCTGTAAATGGGCCAGGGTGTTACCATGGGGACCAGGGATGCCTTTAGTGGGAGACTCAGGGTGTTACCATGGGGACCAGGGATGCTGTTAGTGGGAGACTCAGGGTG